TTTTCACGATTGAAATAGATTGTCAAACAATCGATTAGTTTTTCATAAGATGAATTTGAAGAATCATTTGTATCGTATTAGATTAACATCAAGGAGAAAAAAAAAGAATTTTTACTTGTCCTATTTTCTGTATAATCACAGATTATGTACTCTATGTACTTTAATCTTAAACTGAAATCTTTTTTCTGTATTAAAAGTCAAGCAAAAAAGACTCAATCGGTACATTTCGGACTGTTTCTAATTTGATCAGTCATAGAAATCAATTAATGTCATTTATAAATCTATTTATAGACTACTTCTGAAGGTCAACTGTCATAGTATTATTTGTCATAAATATTTTCAAGCATAAATGTTATTTATCTTCTAATTGTTTCTTTTCTCATTTTTATTCTTTGGTTTCCAACTGATGTCATATCCTTTCATTTATACATTGACTATCAATAAAATCCAAAGATTCATTGAAAGTAATTCAACATTCCAATAGCATATATTATGGTATACTATTCAAATAGAAAAAACAATAGAAATCTTGATGAACTCAATCCAAGTCATTACAAAAATATTTTCCTAGAGATGAATTTTTCAGTTCAATTACACACTGTTGAACATACTTAATATTAATACCTGAATAAGTATTATATATATTCAAATATACGTATGCAAATATTATCAGCCCTTCTTCGAAAGATATTTCCATAATTAAGATTTACTAGAGCAAGACCTTCGAAGTTTAACATTCAAATATCGATATTAAATAATTATAAATTTATAATATTTATTATATGAATTTTTGACCATTATTTGTATTTATTAGAATAAATTAAAAGCAAATGGAATGCAAATAAACATACATTTTGCACCAGTTGAGGACATTTGACTTTTCATATTGAATTATACATTATGTATGGATGTAATGTTCTATTGAATTGTAAACAAGAAGAATAAAACATTTAAAATCAACGTCTATATTTAGTCAAAAACAATATTTTGAAAATTTACAGATTGCACTTAATAGAATTTAATATCAATATTAATATTTTTCCATAATTAAAAGAAACCTGATGTATTTCAAAAATTTCGCATTAAGTATTCATATTTTTCAATTCTAAACGCTGTTGGTGACAAAATGTATTTTTTGAATAATCATTAAGAGAGAGAGAGAGAGAGAGCATATTTATTATAACAACTAGTGATGTTTTGAATAAACACTCAACTACATCGGAAAAAATGCTGCAGAATAACATCAACACATCGAGGTCTTCTTATACAATATAGGAGATAACTGTCAATAGTCTTGTTTTTCCAGGCTTATTCTGAGTAGAAAACATCAGACTTAATCTATTTACACAATCGACAAAAAATCTATTATCTCGAGAATCTTACTAAAAGAACAGCTATATATATATATATGATGTTTTTTTATTTTATTTCCAGTGTCTCTGTGTTTTTATTTTTATTGAAATGACTTTCTAGATCAAAAAAAAAAAAAGAAAACGAAAGAAAACAAGAAGCATAAGCGATAGAAGAAAGAAAAAAAAATTGATTTAAGAAAGCAAGTGATAACAACACATGTGATGAATAAAGAACACAAAACTCAATGAGATAATAAAGAAGAAATATAAAGAATGAATGATGTCAAGAAAAATCTCTTTCTTTTTTAAGAATTATGCTAGAAAAAAAAAAAAGAAAAACATTAGGTGGAAATAGCTAAATTAATAACATAACAATGATAATGCAATCAATAGCAAATAGGATACCATTGAAAATTTAGAAAAAACCAAAGGTGAAATAGAAGATGTTCTGCTCACCATTTTGTCTTTTCTCTCTGTCATTTAAATTACGGTACGAGAGAAAAATCAAACATCATTACATGATCAAAATGAATCAGGAAAGTAGAAAGGATACGAGCACAAATAAGCTCAAAGATATTATTTTTATATACACGATCGATCAAAAGGAACAAATAAACAAACAAACAAAAAACAAAACAAAACAAAACATTTTTCTTTTTCTTTTATTATCATTGTTTATTTCTTATTAGCTTTAGGTTGAGTTTGAGGTGCAGCTGTAGTTGGTGCACGTGGTGGTGTCAATGGTCGCCCACTACTAAGACCACCGTACTGATATTTAGCTTTTTTCTCACTTGGTTTTAAAATCTAATTAAGAAAAAAAGAAACTAATCATATATATAATATAAAAGAAAAGTGAAAATATTTACTTGAAATGAACACATAAGTGTTTCATCAACAGACATCATTCCACCTGCATTATCGAATTCACCACAATAATTAGGTGCTGAAAATAATGTTACTAATTGACGTTTAGCAAAAAATTCATAACCATCTTCAACAACCTATTTAATTATAAATAAATTTAAAAAAATATTTTTTTTTTTCTATTAATATCTCTATACTTGATGAGCTCGACAAATTAAATCCATATCATGTCTATTTAAAAACTAAAAAAATAAATAAATAAATAAATGAAAAATTTTATTCATACGAACAAAAATAATTTCATTGACATACTTTAGCTACAACATCCGCGCCGAATGTAAATGAAACACCACGATCATTTTCACCCCAGCCTTGGGTTTCTTTATCCGGATCGGACCTGTCATAAAATAATGCAAAAAAAATGAGTCAACAAAGAAACTAAAGAAAAACAAGTTAATTACACACCATAACAAATCGCATAGTAAACCTAGTAAAAAGAAAAAGCATAGAAAATTATGAATAGAAAATTTTCTAGTTTAGATTATATACCAGTATCAGGAACATCTGTTGGACGCATAATTCGTCGAATTTGTTCCATAGTTTGTAGGTCGGGAGATAAACCTTCAATTCAAAAGAACAAAAATAATTACAAAATAATAATGAGTATTTTGAATTTATAAAAATAGATCTCTTTATTTATCACTCTAGCTTATAAAATCTCGTCATTGTATTTATTATCAAAAATTATAATGTCCGGAAATAGAAAATTTACTATATTTAGATTATGAGTCAAAAAAAAAGCAAATCATCGTTGATGTTTAGTCCCTAGTTGATCAAGGATAAAATTATCAAATAGATTTGAATGTATGATTACTTTTCACATAGTAATGTCAAAAAGTATGATCATCAATCTTGTTAATCTTTCTTTTAATAGATATGAATTAAACCTTATTTTGATGAGATAGACTATGTCTTTCTTTTTTTTATGACAATATATATCGAAATTATACCTCCGTGACAACAAAAGATTTTTTCATCAATTATAGCAGCAATAGGTAAACAATTAAAACAATCGGTAAATGTTTTCCATAGTTTAATATTAAAACGACGTTTACCTAAAACATATACATATATATATATATGAAAAAAAAATTTCTCTTGATTTATATATCTTCTTCTTACACTCATCATAAAATCCATAAATTCGATTAATCGAAGCACATTCATGATTACCACGTAAAAGAAAAAAATTTTCTGGATATTTTATCTAGAAAATAAAAAAACAAATATTAATTATTTAAATTAACTGAACAAAGAAACCTTATAAGCAAGTAGTAAACAAATTGTTTCAAGTGATTGTTTTCCACGATCAACATAATCACCAAGAAATAAATAATTTGATTCAGGTGGAAATCCTCCATATTCAAATAAACGTAATAAATCAGTATATTGTCCATGAATATCACCTAAAAAACAAAATGAAATATAAAAAAAAACCATAACAAAATACATCATTCTTTTTTTATTACCGCAAATTTTTAATGGTGCTTCAAGTTCAAGTAAAATTGGTTGACTAAGGAATATTTCACGAGATTTTAAACATAATCCACGTACTTCACCCTCCGACATTTGAACAATTTTTCCCGGTCGACATCCACGTACTAGACAAACAACAATAATATTTCTTATGAAAAAATTAATATTTTGTTTTATTTGTTATCATATTTTACCTTCGAGTAATCGTGCTATCAAATGATCAACATTAAGTTCAGTATCTCCTGCCATATTTATATACTCTACAAAAAAAAAATGAAAAACTACCGATTTATATGTGTGCAAACATACATTTGTTTGTTGCTTTTTTTTTTCTTCTACCCTTAGTCGTTCACACTCGTTCTTTCTTATTGGCGTCTATGGTAACGTCTTGTGGGCATTTTTTTGTTTCACAAAAGCTCTCGATTGGTAAAAGAAAAAGAATAAATATGCAATGATGATAGCGATAGAAGGGTTTCAGTTATGAGTGAGAAGGGCAAGACAGTAGAAAGAAAAAAAATGGCAATGAAGATGTCGTTGTATAATATTTCAACACAATAAAAATATTTAAATAAATGAAAATTTTTCTAATTTTAATTTTTTTTTTATAAATAAATTTTAATCAAAAAGGTTATTAAGTAATTTTTTAATAGATTGGTCTTCGAAAAGTATGCTATGACTCATTGAATAATTTTCGTGTATCATTAATATTTATTTAGCTTGCATCACATTTATTTTCAAAAAACAAAACGTAAAAGCAATGTCTGGTCGTCAGGGTGGTAAATTAAAACCATTGTATGTTTGATTTTTCTTTTAATTAGTGATTTTTGTAAGATGAGTTTATGTAATTTTTTCTTAGAAAAAATCCCAAAAAAGATGAAAAGGAATTGGATGAAGATGAAAAAGCATTTAAAGAAAAACAGCGTGAAGAACAAAAGAAACTTGAAGGTAATTGAAAAAGAATATCGATCTTTTTTTGTTTTATTCTATTCATTGTCTTTTTTTATTATTTTCTAGAAGCCAAGAAGAAGGCAACTGGTAAAGGTCCACTTAAATTGGGCAAATAAATAATTATAAATTTTTCTGGCTTAAAATAAACTCATGATTATTAATATATTCATCTATTGAATTTTGTTTTTTTTTTGTTTCTTCTTCATCTAATAAATATATTCTGGAAGGTTCTGGTGCTAAATATTTTCCTACATTGTAGATAAACCTCTTGTTATTTCTTTTTTTTTTTGTTTTGATTGAATGGGATTTATTAAATTTTATAAAACTCGTTTAAGTCCAATTGTTACTATAACTGCTATTCTCGTTGGTATTCATATATCTTGGTGGTCAATTCAACAAAAGTTAGTTACAAAAAAGATATATGAAATGAACTTTTTCTTTTTTTTTAAATATGTTAATTTTTCTAGTCCAGCACTTGTTGCACCTTCTCAACGTCGTCATCATTTATTAGGATTTCGTATTCCTTATTTATCGCCACCTGTTGTCGATAACGACAAGAAAGATTGAATGACTACAAAACAATCAACAATTGGATACGATCCGTTTAGTGTTAAACCATTACAAATTCGTACGAGACGAATATTTGCACCTAGTGGAGGTTCGATTTCACTAACAACAGCTACTATTCTTGTTGCTACATTGTCTGCATATTTTTATTTCTTAGTACCACTTGAATATATTAGGTAAATAAAAAAAGAGAGAGAGAGAGAGAGAGGTGAAAAAGAAAAATTTATTTTCTAATTTTAGACCTGATATAATCGGTTGGAATCGTACAGCTCGTGCTCGAGAAGCACTTACTAAAACACAAGACAAAAGACAATAATTTTCATAAAATTACCATCATCACAATTATGGGTTTATTCAAAGAAGCTCTTTTTGCTTTTCGTGGTCGTCGATTTGTTGAATGGTTTTTTATGAATCGTCCTCAACTCCCTCTCATTTGCGGTATTACATTCTATACATTTTTGTATCTTCATTATAAATATGATTTGATTGCTCGATGGAAAGGTCAACCAACTTTTAATGATTAGTATGTATTTATAATATTAATAAATCATGTCGTTTTTGTATATGAATATATTTTGTTTTATCTTATTATAGCTCCTATGTTAAACAAGCTGCTGAACGTGAACGTACTCGTCTTGCTGCACTTTCTTCATCTCCAACGTCTACTATTCCTTCATCTCAATCATCACCTTCTTCAACCGGCGTTAATTAAATATGTCATCGTGTTTTTGGTTTTATTCATCGATGAACATTTTTTTTCAGTTTATATGCATGTTTGAGAGCCATTGAAACATTTGATAGTTCAGCTAGCACTTTTCACATCAATAAATAGTTATATAGATGATGGTCTTGACTTTAGTAGTATACTTTGTGTGCCTTTTTTTTCATTGTATAGAACTTTTGATCTGTTAACAGAAAAAAATAAAAGATTTGGAAATGAATCCAATTAAGTAATGGTTGATGAGATTTTATTTTGAATAGATATAAGTGCCTATCAGTTCGAAATAAAAATAACGTATTAGATAGATTTGTTCGTTGAAACAAACGGTATAATACTTTTGTATGATGATATGCCAATGCTTGAGAATTTGAAATGTTGTTTGCAATTGAATTTGAAAAATACTTTTTTGCTGTTCTTCTGTTTATATAACGATAGAATAAGAGAAATTGTGAAATATTTTTTTCTAATCAAAATAAAACAAAAGTATAAAACCAGTATATCTATCTCATTTTATATTTCGTGCAACGAATTTCTTCAACAACCGCAATAAACGAAGAATCGTTTCAAAAAGTTACACATGTGTTTATTTAAACGAATGATCGTCAATTATAACGAACATCTCATATTCAATTTTATTCTAATATGCATTCATTAAATTATTTTTAATTGGCCATTGACTTTTTTTCACACCGATCCCAATAACTTCTTTTACAGTAGGCTCGGTCGCAATAGTTTTAGTTTTCGGTATTTCGGTTTAGAGAATACTATTCTTGAATTTATTCGTATTATATCTAAAAACATTCTTCGATAATCATTTTTTTTTATTTATTTAGTTGACGACTAGCACTTTTTTGGGTCATCTCTCTTGAAGTATGTGCTGATTGATGATTTATGAGATAATTCGCTTAAAACCATAGAATATTTAACTATAAACTTGAGTTCCTGTCGGAATACCTCTTTTTTCATAATTCTGATCCCAATCGCCGCAGCTTCTCTTTTCCATAGTCTCCGTCCTAATCTCACATATCTCTAGTACAGATTCACTGAATCATGCTCTAGACAAATTAACTTCTAATACATATGATATTTTAGTAAGAGAAAGTGTAGAATCATTTATTCGTCATAATCGATTATTAAGATAAAGTGTTGAACATATGAATCATATTTTACATAAACGTTTTCAAGCTAATGATTCATTCATAGGAAAATTAAAGTAGGGATCAACAAGTTAACAATAAATATAAGTTTATTAAACGAATAGAAAAATAACAAAGTCAACTTAAACAAATTAAATTTAACAAAAAAACAATCAGATTTACAAAATGTTCAAAAAATTCGAAGGAAATTTTACTTTTCTTTTCTTTCAAGTTTATTATTTTGAATATCATCCATTATATACAAAAACAATTGAAATTACAGTTATCTATCGAACAACAAGCACGAATTAGGAATGAAATACGCATAGCTCGAACGATTTCTACTTAGTTTTCTGTTTATGTTGATATGCTTTAAATTGAAAAAAAAGCTATAGATGTGAACAATCATGTATGAATTTTACTGTTTTCATTAAAATTTGAAAATATTTGAAATTCCGAATTCCATATTTATTTTATATTCTGAATCGATAATTTAAATGCAATGTTTTTTTTTGTACATATATTCTTCATAGAAGAAATTTTATTATTTACTTAATAAACATAGACATGATTAGGAATCAAACAAAGCTCCAAAACAAGGAATATCTTTGCGCCACAGTGCATTAATCACTTCAATAGTAAATTTTTCATTTGATACAACAAATACAGCTTGTGAATTTGTTTTCCAAAAATGTTCTTCTACTAATTGAGGACCAGGTCGTCCACTAACTGATGTATCATATAAAGTACAATGTAGATGCATTTTTTGGACTAATTTCCAAACATATTCTCCATAATTCTCTTCATGTTTTTTAGCAATCCATAAAATATGTGTATGAGTTGTAGGTAATGGATCTTTGATATATGGTAATGCGGGTGCAATACCAGCACCCGTACATACAATTAATACTTTTCGATAAGCATGAATACTATGCATAAAACCAAGACCTTTTATTCGTCGAATCCATACATGTTGTGGTAATTTATTATTTCGATAATCATCAGCTAGAGTTTTAGTCCAATCTCCAGCAGCTGCAATTAATACTGAATGTTGATCTGTACATGGATCCGTAAGAGCAATAGCAAATGCATGCCATTCATGTCCATCAAATGAAATACGTGTGAATGAACCATATGGATAAAGTACATGAGGAAATGTCAAAATAGTTAAATCTTTTGATGGTTGATTATATTGTACGAATACTTTACGAACACATATCCACGGTAAAAAGATAATAATAATAATAGCCAATAAAATTAATACAGGTATATTGAATAAAGTTTTTGTATTAAAAGAATCAAATTTCTCTAACTGAATAAAGATTACATGAATAATAAGTATGATCAAAGATGTCCAACCAATATAACGATGAATATGTTCAAAAGTATTATGAAAACGACGACGAACTATTGGTATTGCCGTTAATGAAATCAATAAAATAAGAAATAGAATAATTCCACCAGTTATTCTCACACCTAAGCCATGATGTTCACAACTAAGAGAAATTAAAAGCCAGAAAAGACAAGCAATGGCTGATGAAACATGAAGACCACCAATACAATGTAACATTCGATTAAATTCATATTTAAAACATGGAATTAATGCTACAAATCGATGGAGTAAAGCTATAAAGATTTCATTTCGTACAAGTACTCCAAAAAGTAATTCACAAATAGCTATAGTACCACCTGAAACTTGAATTATATGTGTAAAATAGAGTATACACAAAGCAATTGTTACTAAAACATGAATTATAAGCCATACTTGATGACAGGTTATACAGTCAGGAATTGTACTATGATACCATGCTTTGATTGGATGCATTTTTCTAGTAGACAATATCATCAATTCATTTTCAACAGTTATTCTTATTTCACCATTTTGTGAAATAGATACGTCGTCAGAGAATGATTGTTGATTAGATTGAGTTTCAATTTTTTCAAGGATGTTATTATCAATAGGGAAAAATTCTAGTGTAGTATCAGATATAAACCGTTTCCGTTTAATACGAATAGCAGGTTCATTAGATATAGCATGTCGATATTTATTCCCATACAAAGAATTTATGACTATTGGACATTTCGAGTTCTCTAACTCATTTATGTTTTTGCACTTGTCATCTGCCATTTAGAAAAGTGAATATTAGACTCTAAAATCAAATAAAATCAATTATTGTTCCTGTAACAGAGGGCAATAAAATGCAGATATATGTGTTCTCAGCTGTGAATTTTAAAAAAATAGACTGGAAGTAGATATATACTCACACACCCACACATAGTTTCATTAAAAAAAATACTAATACATATTTTGATACAAACTTGTAGGTACATTTTGGTATAGCCACAGAACAGAAAAGAATAAACATGTCAGGAAAAGAAAATAAAAACAATCGAATGAGGAAACAATGACTTCGATATTTTTGTCCATGAACAAAAGTAGAAGAGAAAAGGAAGGGCTTCACACAACAATATGTGAATTTATCACTGTCCGCAAAGTTTTTTTACAACATATACATCATGAAAAATAATATTATTCTCTACATCCTAGTGTAGTCAATTTGATTTATATCAACGATAAGAAGATGATACAACTCATTGGTTTGTGTAACGGAGGTACATTCATATTCTACACTCTGATCAGACACGCCTTTCTTTGCTCAACAAAATGCAAATTGACACATGGTAACTTCGCTTTCTCCATTGAGAAACACTATATTGGTCGGAATGTGTTAAAAGTGATATTGCTCTACATATACCTTCATTGTGTAGTCACTTTTTCTCTGTAAACAAAATATAGTGTATTCGTGAAATTTCATGTGGGAAACGTACATCAATATTTCTTCAACAAAATCTATTTATTCAAAGAGTTTTGAAAATTTGTCAAAAAGTGGAATTCTTCATATTTATCTGATAAAATACTTTCTTTTTGAATAGTTCAAGACCCGACTTCGATCATTCGTATCAAAAGTAATACTTAAAATAAAATTTCGATATTAGAATCGAGTTCAGCATCAAATACTGGGTAGAATAGTATAGGCTTTAGCGAAAAATATTTTTTGATAAAAGATCTCTATATTCTTCTTCAGTTCTTTTTTTTCAAAATTTTTATTTGCAGTTCTCTCATGATGTCCTTTTATTGAAAAGTATTTATTACGAAAGCCTATATCATTCTACTCGGTATTTGATGCTGAACTCAATGTTAATATCGAAATTTTATTTTATGCATTACTTTTGATAGGAATGCTCAAACCCGTATCTTAAACTATTCGAAAAGAGATTATTTTATCAGATAAATATGAAGAATTCCATGTTGGGACACATTTCCAAAACTCTTTGAATAAATAGATTTTGTTTGAAAAATATAGGTGTACGTTCTTTACATGAAATTTCACGAATGTACTACATTTTGTTTTCAAAGAAAAAGTGGCTACACAATGAAGGTATACTTACAGCAATATTGATTTTAAGACATTCCGACTTATACAGTGTTTGTCAATGGAGAAAGAGAAGTTACCATGTGTCTATGTGGTCGATTAATATAGTCCTCATGTATCCATGTGCTTCCGATATACAAATCAATTAGTCATATCGTCTTTTTATTGCTGATAAAAATCAAATTGACTACGTTAGGATGTACAGAATGATGTCATTTTTCATTATGTATACGTTGTAAAAAGAAAACCTTCTGGCCCGTGGCGAATTTATCACCGTATCGTGTGAATTCTCCAAGGAGAATTCCAATTCTGACGTACATCTCAACAAATCATTCCAACCTATTGAAGAACAAGCGTAAATGTAAAAAACAAAATTTAGACCCTCAGGTGAATAATAATCAAATAAAGATATCTATTTTATTTTGTAACATATATTCATAATTTTATAAGCAAAATTCTATTAGATGACATATGAAGGTAGGTGTTCGATCACAAAAATTTACTTCTTTCTTGCTTTTAAGTCATATTATACAAAATGATTCTTATTTAGAATTCGGATCACATTTTATAGACAATATTCAGGTGGATACATGATATCTAAACAATGGAAGTGAGTCTTGTGTCATAAAATACAGAAAATTTATTGATTAATGATGTAGAAAGTGTTTCTGTAATGTATAGAAAACGGAAGCACATTCATCATTGACAACAGTAAAATGATCTTTTATGATATCTTCATATAATTTTCATTTCGTTCTTGACTGGTTATTATTAACTCTAAATAGGTAAGACATTCATATCGTCGTGTTGTCATATGTCATTTTAGTCTGTTCTATTGATTTTCATATTATTTTTTCTGGTGCATTCTTTTATGTATTTCAAGTATCGTGTATTAAGGGAACTCTCTCTTCGCGGAGTTTGTGGAGAACGGCTCATCAGAAAAATTTGAAATTTTCAGAACAGGTAGATTTTGATGAGTAGATCAAAAGTTATCATTCCGGATGCTGTCTTCTATGAGATACTAGGATCACATTGATGAAAACTGGTCCTGAATTTTCGTCCCTGTTCCTCTAAGATGCTACGCTCGATCAAGCTAAAAACTTTTTTCTCTTACAGGTACTAGACATTGTTTGGGGTGGGTATGTTTTTTTTCGTTTCTTTTTTATTTTTTGTTCTTTGACTAAAAATACGAAAATATCGAAGGTATCCTAAAAAACGCATGTTTTTCTTGAATAGAGCTTTTTTGTAAGAGTTATCAAAAATCAGAAGAACAATATTTTTTGAAACAAAAACAAAATACCTATCACAAACAGTGTCTAGTATATTTGTGAAAAAAATTTCAACTCGATTAGATTAGCTAACGGGACGTTTCTGCACTTTGTTTCATGAAAAAATTCTTTTGAGAAAAAAAAGGTGAAACAATGTACAATATTCGTTATTTTTCGTTATGTAAATTTGATTTCTTCCCGAATTTTTTAATGTTTAAAGGCAATTTTTTCGGTCCCAAAATGTACTCAGTAGATAGATATTACTTGAAACTATATGATGATCACAAAAGACCAAAAATTTTAGCTCGAGAAAGGGAGAGGTTATTGTTAATATGCTGTATAGTAGATTAGAAAGTACAGCAGCATGGACAAGGTAATAAACAAAAGCATTGTTCTACTATAAAAGTAAAAGTTTTAATAACTTGAATCAGAACTCTTAGTCATAGATCAGATCTATCACCTTCACATCCTCGATTTAGAACAGTTTAACTATGTTCATTATGATTTAGCCTGTTGAAATTTTTTAGTGAATCCTAATAAATATATTGTTTAAAACTACTCATTTTGAATTATTGACTATTATTAATAATTATGATTCAGAACGACATCTCAAAAGACTCATTATCTGTTCATTGGTCAGCATCTGAAGTAATTGACAATAAAACTACTTATACGTATATTGCGCTTGGTATTATGGATGAATACATTCATAAACTATCATCAGATTGTTCTCATCATTTTTATCAATTAGTAATACATCAATGTTTAAGATTTGAATCACATGATTGATCAAATTTTGAAAAATTAAGATAAAGTTTGGATCAATGGATATTTTTGAACAATTTTTGCTCAATGTATACCATTAGATTTATAATTATGTTATTTATTCAGAAGTTCATCAGAACTTTCAGAAGGTCATGATGTTGAACTACTAGATGATGCCGTATTATAAAATCTAATACAAAAAAAGATCTGAGACTAAAGTTACGATTTATGCAGATGGTTAATTCAATTCTTCAATCAATAATAATATAATTGGTTTATTATGTTATTTAGTAAAATTGAGTTCTTGTCGATATATATTTGATTATACACATCTGTTAGTGATACAGCACACAAGAACTGTCGATTTTTGTATACCTGCTTCAATTTCTGAACAAAAATTATCATTATTACTCGGTATCTCTACTACATCTAGGCAAGAAAAATAATTTTTCTCTTTAAGTTTTTGTTTCAATTACATAACGATGTCTTAATGAGTTCGTTCATAAGTAAGAAATATATCAATTATCAAATCTGTTGTATATGAATCCATTGAACATCGTCGAACACGTATTGGATAATTTAGATTAATATCTAGGTCATATAGAGTATCTTCTTTATATAGTTCAGCACTTTCATAGAGTTAAATTGAATGGATAATCAATATTAAGTCTTTTACATACAATCCCTTTGAGTTTTTCTATTGTTATAAATTTGTTTTGAAGGGAAATTCTCTGTAGAATACCATAACACTCAATATTCACTGCATATCTATTTTCTATTACCATCTCCATAAGAGAATCTCTTGTGTATTGATGATATTTAATCATCATAATGGAAAACTTTTTCCAAGATACTGTATTTTTTATGTTACCAAAGGTTGCTTCTTTTTTTTCATGAGACATACATTTACTTCTTCCTGCTTTATGTATTCAGTATTGTGTAAATAAGAAAACTGAAAAACAAAAATTTTTTTTTTAATTTTCACTTCGAAAACAATGTGCATCAGACGAAAAATGAAAAATACGGAGCAGTTGTCTTTTCGTTTTCTTATTTTCTGTTAGTCTTTGTTTTGTATTTCATAGAAACAAATAAATTACATAATAACTAGGCATTGTTACTTGTTTGGTAGTAGTTTCCTTCTTTTTTTATCTTGGAAGTTTAGTCTAATGAATTCATGAACCGTGCATATCGTTATCTTTGTTTTACTGCATAACAAATCGATTGAATTTCAAATATAAATGCTAATGTAATGTAATATGAATAATCATTGTATTATATAACAATGAATTAATTAATCTTACGATTAAATATGGATTTTGTGTTCTTTTTTTCTATTATTATTTTCAGTATCACCTCTTTAAAATGGATACACCCCATAGTTATCAAGTTGAATATGACACAAGAATACAAGTCATGTCATCAAGAGTTTGTAAAACAGTATTTCTGATCATGAGAACAGTTTTCTCCAGCATTTTAACGCACCTGTCAAAATTCAATGGAATCATATTGACTTTATTTTATGTCTGGAAGTTACACTTTTTGATTTACGTCTGTATACAACAATACTTGCGATTTGTATTTATTAGTCATTACCGAAAAACAAGTTACCATTTGATACGCCGACAGCAACACGTTATTTAGATTTTATCGTATCTCATTATTCTTCTTCTAGCTCTAAAAAAATAAAAAGAACAGCTTATGCCAGCGGAATGATTCAGTCCAAATCATGATACTTGTAAACAATTATCTCTCTGAGTCTTATATTTTCATCCAATAAAAAAAGCAAATAACGTTCTTCTGATCATGTCAATCTCCGAAGAAGTTCTAATAAGCACATTGATTTCACTTGCCTGCAATTCATAGAATAACAAATAAAAAACTATTAAATTCTTGTATTTATTCTGTCAAACTTACCACAACTACGACAGCAGAGAGAGAAAAAAACACATGACGTATATCATAAATTATTTTACATTGAAGCTAATACAGATAGAGAGCTTTTCATTATTTGTCACATTAAAAACAAAGTCATTTTATTAATGATCTTGGGAAAAACATATGTGAAGACATGTTAAATGCTCTATTAGATATCACCAATAATCTTCAAGTCAAAGAAACGTTGGTTATTCAAGCAAATAATCTATTTCTCAACGAGTAATAATTCAAAAACTTTCAAGCATTCTCAAAAGCAAACATAAAGAGAAAATTAATAAAACTCTACTCTTTTCTATTTGTTTCGATTTCATTTTGAACGAATAAGATCAAGTCATAACATTTTAGTTTTGTATTTGTAAAACTTAAGATCCTGCTGTTTATGTTGATTCACAATATAATCAGGCAATCGGATATTTCGAGTATATGTGGAAGTTAGATTAAGAAAAGTTGAAAGAAAATTAAAAAGAAATATAATCTTCTCAATGACTTTTATGTTTTTTTTTCTTATTATTTATTGTTGCACAGAAATTGAATGTATAAAACAGCATATCATTTTTTATTATAACCTTGTTGATGATATCAGTAAAAAAAAAGCATCAATAAACTTGTTTGACATTGTCATGAAACTAATTAAATATTTTATTCTTAAATAATATAATAGAGAAAAAAACCCAAATGAAAAAAATTCAAAATATTTAGATTTACAAAGAATACTTATACAAGTTGTTTTTGATCAATGTCATTATCATTCACAGTAGGTGTATCACACATGGATAAAGTAAAGAAATATCAATCATATTCCTGTTGATTGACAACACATAAGGTCTTTATTTTGGATGAATTTCTGTATACCATATTATCAGTTATTCTGCATAGAAAAAAAAAATGTAAAGAAACCAAGAAAGAAATGCTAGATTAGTATTGTATGTATGTGAAAGATAATCATTCATACGATCGATACATGTTATTGTCAATAACTTTCTTTAACCTGATGTCAATTGAAGATAACACAATAATGTCAATGAACACCGTACGTGATGTTGTTTTGTTTTAATTATAAATTCAAGCAAAATAAGCAACAATAGAGATGGTTGGTTACACATGTAATTTTCTGCCTTTGACTTTTAGCTTGGTGATTAAATGATAAAACGAACAGAAAAGAAAAAAGAATAAAGAGAACAAATTTAATCAGTTGTCGTCTTCCGTAAATCGAACGAGACGATCAATTTGACACATGACGAAGGGAAATGACACGTCTCTAAAATATGCATCGTCGGATGTAACACATCCATCAATAAAAATCTTCATCCAACGTTCATTTCAATAACTTTCATTTGAACAAGACCGAGTCAACAAAATCATACATCATGGTAAAGTTATTTCATATAAATTTTTCTCTTTCAAATAATTAATATATATTTTTAAGATAAACGAAACAACTTTTTGTATATATACATATATTTAGACTAATCAAACAAACAATTTTGATCAATCGCTTCCAATACTTTCTCTAATGCCCTATTCAGATATATTATACGATAATCTTTCATTGACTCTTGAATCAATTCTATCATTATCATCAACATGGAATAGAACAGATTTGTTTGTACCATCTGAAGAAAGTATTATTCTTCGTCGTCATCCAATTCTATATGGTACAGCAATTTATGCTCTTCTACTTCTGATTGTTGGAACCATTGGTAATTAAACAAAAAAAGAAAGATATTGATTTGAACAATATTATCTTTTTTTGTTTTTAGGAAATATTTTAACTATCATTATTCTTAGTCGTGCTAATTTACGACGACATACAACAATGCGTTATTTTATAGCAGTAGCAATTGCTGATCTTTGTTCATTATATTCATGGAATTTAAATTTATTCTATAAACATTTAATTAATCGCTATCAAAATGATCTTGAAGATGCATCAATTATATCTTGTCGTTTAGTATCATTTATTGCATTTGTTAGTTTACAATTATCATCATGGTATTTAACATTAGTTAGTGTTGATCGTTGTCTTAGTATTCATTTTCTATTTTGGCGTCGACAATTAGGTCGAGTTAGTCATTCGATTTATATTATTCTTAGTGTAACAATAATTATTATTTTTCTTAATATACATTTACTTTTTTTAAATGGTTATAAAATATCTAATTGTATTCCATATGGAAAACGTACTTGTTTTAAATGTTATGCACGTTTAAATGATAAATATTATATATTTCCGAAATGGGAAACAGTGCATGTTATTGTTTATAATTTAATTCCATTGTTTATTATGCTTATATCAGCTTATTTTATGATTCGTCGTTCACAATCATCACACCGTAGACACAGAGCATTATCAATTGATGGTCGCAGCAATTCATTAAGCAGCAATGATCGTCGAAATAAACATCGACAATTAACTTGTGTACTTATATCTCTAATATTATTATTTGCTTTTTTAACAACACCGGTAATGATTTATAATGTTTTTTTAAGAAATCATTTAGTAAATCGTAAGCCATTAAAATATATTGTACAAGGAATACTATTATGCAAACAATTTACACATCATGCAGTAAGTTTATTATTTATTAATTTTTATTAAATAAATATTAAGAACAATTTTCTTTTTGTTTTTTTTTTTATTTTAGATTAACTTTTTTGTTTATTCTTATGGTTCATCAATGTTTCGTCGTGAACTTCATGAATTTTTTTCAACTTGTACAAGAAAAACAAACTATAATATTAATCAATCTAGAGCATCTCAACATATGTTTTGAAGAAAAAAACAAAACGTTAAATAAAATATTTATGTATAAATAATTTAATAGAAAAGTCATTGATTCAATTAATTATCTATTGAATTAATTCTCAGACAAATTTGTTTCCAATGATTTATATATTCATACTATTGATAATATCAGTCAAGCGATCATTGTATTCTTATCTGATTGTCTTTGTCGAAAGAAATCTTCTGTGAAATACTTTTTGAGATATTAATTACAATGTACGTGTACAAAAAGATTTATTCTTTTAAATACTTTGATGGTGTTCGTTTTGAGTTGAATTATGTTTTTATTTTCAAGTTTTAATTTAAAAACTTAAGTATTCGAAAGATTTCTGCTAGACAAAATAAAAGTGAAAATTACGAATATAATATATAGAGAATATTCTACTATTGAAATATAATAATCAAATATTTTGAAAAACAAATAAAAGTCAAAATAATGTTTCCTATATAATTGATATGATTTATAGTATTGATAAATATTTCATAAATAACTTTATTATTCTCTACTGTTTTTATTCAAGGTTGATTTAATATGAATTCAATTCATTGTACGTGAATAACAAATAAAGTTATATTGTTTTTCATTCCATAAAAATTATGGATCTGTAGGGAAATTTGTTTTATATGAAATTCTTTTCATATGTGTGATATGTTTCATTTGCATATGTATAATGAGTGTATTGTAATATCTTTAATATGTCATGATAAACTTGCTGCATGAATTTTTATGAATATACAAGGCGTCCTATAAGTAGCTTTATGATAAAAAGCTTGAATAACTCTCATATATTTAATTGTAATAAGGTGAATTTTTATCAATGATAAACAAATGTTCAAAGTTTTTATTGATAAGAAAAACATTAAGAAATATTACTATAATTCATCACAATCGAATTTAGTAAAGATTTGTGAGTTTTTATGGATTAAGAAAAATTTTAAGTGTATAAATTCGGTCTCTGACAGAGATGGAACTAGTACTGGTATGAATTTTAGATCAACTGTTCTGATCTATTCAGACCGACATTGGTATCGATCGTGAAAAATTTAGATCGGTTTCATTTCTAATCTTCGAGACAGCCTTTTAAACAAACTTTATATGATATTTTTTGAAGCACGTAAAAGCTCGAAAATCTTTGTTCAAATCGATAGTTAAAGTTTGAAGTAATATTTCTTCATGTTGTGTTGATTAATTAAAACTTTGAATACTCCTCTACTATCAAATAAAAGATCAGCTCATTGGAATTAAACATAGAGGAAGATATTCAAAATTTTTATCGTAAACATATTTATATGACACACCCTCTAATTATGTTGAATTACAAATATAACAACAAGCATGAGCCTGATAACACAATAATATATTTCACTATTTACTGTGATAACAAAATGATGTCAAAAATAATATTGTAATGCAAGAGTGTCAATACTAAAGTGTATCATCTCCTCTTTGATGAATATCTTATATTTTATTTTAAAGATTGTCAATGATAGATTTTATGAGTTGAAATTAGCAGATTTTTTTTTAATAATTGATTCGAATATATACGATCGTAAATAATAGTGATTATTTTTTTTTTCTTTAGTGCTTTACAATAGAATGATGCGTAAACGTATATGTGAGGAAAGAGCAGCTGTCATCATTGCGTTTTGTTTTTTGTCATGTAAATGAAAAAATAATAAGATACTTAGACAAAAGTGTGTTATACTCGATTTTTCTTATTCTATTTTTCTTAAAGAAATGAATGATGAGATAAGAAAAATTCATATAAATTGAATGAAGATGAGTTTTGATTATTTCCTACATCTGTTTTTTGTAATATGTATAAAATTTGTTGAGATTTGTTTTGCAATATGCAAGGTATATAGAATTTGAAAACAATTCTTTCTTGATTCAGATGACTTTACTTTGTTATTATTTTATTGTTTTCTTGTTATGACGAATGTTTGAATGTGAAGAATAAGATTTTATTTTAAAACAATCTTTTGATAAATAAATCAAAATTTAAGATAAATTCATCGAAATTTTCAGTCAATTTGAAAAAAGAAAACGATATAACTTAAAAACAGTTCTGTTTTATCTTATAATGAAGATATCGTTAGATGCATTTCTGTTCTTCTAATCAAAATCTGATTTACGACTCTTAGGTTTTGTCGATAGAAAATTTCATACTAAATTAAGATATGTGGTTGGTCAAAAAATAAAATCTGATATAATGCACGTTTAACAGACAAATTAAATTTGATGTGCTAATCGAAAAAGAATTTGATTCATTAATTAAAATACTTAATGTACATCAATGAAGTCACCTTATAAACTTTGATAGTAAGAAATATTTGACATACTACACTACAAATTGTTAAGGGAGTGTTTGAGGGTGTGGCAAACACAGAAAAATAGAAACACCTGTAAAAAAAAAGGTATCGAAAAGATAAGACATAGAGACGGCACAAGTGATATGATGTTGTTAGCTGGATTATCGATATTGAAAGTTCGAAGACATATGAGATAGAAAGGCATTAAATCTAAATAGAAAATTGTTTGTTATTGTATTTCAAGTGTTCAAAAAAATTTGACACTTTCAAAAGATCTGAACATATTTCTAAAATATCTTTAATATCAGTAAACTAAATAGTTCAGACT